AAAAATACTACAATAAATAATGTTACCTTTCTATAGCCTCACCTTTATTTAGCTATAGAAACAAAGTTACATTCTGAGATACTCCATGAATATTCCCACCAAAATTGATTTAATAGGTATGAAATTTTAAAATATTTAACTTTCATGTCTTTGTCTGAAGATTGTTAAAATAACTTTTGAGCACGGAATTACTAAGAAATAACTAATTGAACCCGCTCAAATATTTCAATTAGCCGCCAATTAAGTTTTCTGTAATAAAAAATTACACAGTAGCGCGTCATCACGTACATAAATCGTTGGATTTAACTACTGAAGTAAATTTTTTTCTTCTGTTAATAATTTTACAAATTTAAAATCATTTTGGTATATTATCATTATTTTTTATAACTATACAAAAAATATATAAATGTAAGTCAGTAAAGTATTTTCAACGAGATTTGATAGTCTAATGAAATCTGAAGAATTTTATGTGCTGCTTTCAAAAAGAAATGTAAAATTGCATGAATGTAGTTGTAGGTATATACGAGTACGTATAAAAAATTAAGATTTAAAATTTGTATGTGAATTTAAGTTTTTTGAAAGTTTATTAAAACAGTGTAATAAGCACTCAGGTGAATTCTCGGTGCAACACTATAGTTACACAATTTGAATGAAATCTATCAGAATCCTGTAGGATTAACATAATATTTAATATAGGTAGCTATTAGGTAATGTTATCTGGATTTCCTTTATATTAGAGTAGAATTTCATGAAATGTCAACTATAGAATTAAAACTTATAATATAAAATTACAATTAGGTAAATTGTAATTTTGTATTATAAGTTTTAATTACGTATAGTACCTACCTATTTTTATTTATGATCTGATAACTACTACAAGTTAAAAAATATTCATATTATAAATTAATCAATCAAACGCAAAATATATTTTTCGTTAATGAAATGAAATAAACCTTATTCAATTAGACTTATTACAAGCACTTTTGCAACAAATAATTTAGAAATCTCACTTTAGCTGTCGATACAGTAAAGGCGTACGATATATTACAATGATGATATGAATAAATCCTTGATTAATCTTCTTCTATTTAAATATATTAAATTTAAAACATTTTTTCCACCCACTTTTGGAAAGACAGTGTTTGCGTTTGAAAAAGTAAAAAAAATATATTTTAATAAGTTTAAAAATATTAATTAATTTTCTTTCCATACTTAATTGACATACAAACTCGGTGAACTCATTATTCTCTTATAATATACAATTAATCAAGTAAAAGCTCTGTGAAAAAGCTTCGGGAAGCTTTTTTGTGTACTTACAAAAACTTTAACACTATATATGCTTACATAAAACAGTTCCTTTAAATGTAGGTATTTAATATATAAATTTTGCATATATTTAGCCAAAATATCATTATACTGGGCGTAATGGGCGTGTCGTTGGGCGTGGCCTACCGGTTATTGACCCCGAGATGCTATAACTTGGCTGTATATGGTGTGGTTTAGTAAGACTATTTGCAATTCTATGACTTACTACGGAAATCCTGTAAAATGCAATTAACGCTTTTAATCTAATGTATTAGAGTGCATAATTGTAGTGCAGATATTAAATTTAAAAGTCAAAAGCTTTTGCGATGCTTCATCTACTAATGTGGTACTTTATTATTTTTGATATGTTTAATAGTGATTTAAATACACAAAATGACCACCATTTTCTACATTCTTATATATAAAATTGTATGTTTCATACAAAAAATATTTATAAATACATACTATATATACCTATAGATGCTAAGCTAGTTACTAGTTACTTAGCAGAGTACTGATGTTCTCCTAGCCGATTCAGGCCATGGCGGCCAATCTCAATGAGATTAGCCAACTGCGCAGGAGATATTATAGTGCTCAAGTGTACGCGCAGACACAAGGCACTCTCTATTCCTATCACTCTCATACTCCGGTGGGACGACCACTCGACACGACCGGTGAGAGTTAAGGCGCAGGACCGACGGCTTTACGTGCTCTCCGAGGCACGGGGGTGAAACACCGCCAACTTCCCAACTCCGGGCTGTTACTGAGACTTACTATACAGGAAGACTCAATAACTAAACTTGGCCCGACCCGGGACTCGAACCCAGGACCTCCGGGTGTGCAGCCGTACATGCTAGCCACTACACCACCGAGGCAGAGTACTAAAAGGTATTCAGCGAGAAACACTTTACCGCGATAAAGGTCCTCTGTCACTATCCATCACATAAACCATCACAATATACCGTATAGAATAACAATACCAAGTCGACTTATTGCTTTATTGCTGTTTGAAAGACAAACATTTTTATTAATTACTAGCTTTTGCCCGCTGCTTCGCTCGCACTAAGGTAATTTTATTGTTTAAGTGTAATAAATTTGAAATTGATGACATTAATCAATGTTCCAACAAACATTAAAATAAAACCCATGTTGATTTTTAGACTACTACTTCTTTTTACCCCCTGAAGGAGTTGCTTTTAAAAGCCACGAAACACGTGGTTATTTACTTGTTGACAGGAGTAACGCCGCGAATTTTTGAATTCATACATCTCTCTAATATGATTTCTCCGTACAAATCTTGAACCCCCGTTTCATCCATTTATGGGTTGTATTTTCAAAAATCCATTTTTAGCGTTAGGTCTGAGGCTTCTTGTACCTTGGTTTTTCAAGCCAGCGCGTTAATATTAATGTTTTTCGCTTATTTTGTAACGTCCGCCATATTGGATGAAAAATGGCGGCATTTAGATAATCGTGCATTGTATCGAGAACCAAACTAATGCGCCAAATTTCAGCTCAATCAGATACTGGGAAGTGGGTCTTTAACTTGCAAGATTCCATTACACATACCGGGACAGGTGAAACTAAATAAGAGCTTGTAACATGACCGTAAATAAAATTGAAAAGCTTAAACTATTTTATTGCAACTTTAATTATTTATTTGTTTTTTTTTTATATTTTTTTTTATGGTACTCAGTGATAAGCGAGCAGACAGCCCACCTGATGGAAAGCGGTACCTACCTGTCGCCCATAACACCTACGGTTCATGAACTTTGGTTTTACGTAACAAAACTGCAGAACCGCCGGTAAGTTGTCACTGTGAGGACTAAGATAATATGCCTCTTGCCTGTAATTGCGCTGGCTACCTTATCCTTCAAACCAAAACACAACAATGCAAACATTGTTGCTTGGTGGGAGAAATAGATAAGGGGGTGGTAACCATCATGTCAGATTCTTCAGGCTTGACAGAGTCCTACCACCAGTAAAATGATTTTTTTAAGATAAGAATATCGTAAACATAAAATAATTACTAAATAAATAGGTGAAATTTATTTATAGGTACAGATGTATAACGATGTAAATGTCACATCCAATAATAAAAGCTGGGATAAGTAAAATTCTTTCAACTAATTAGACACGCTGCGACTGTGTGTACTTGTAATGCATTTGCATTGCAAGAGTATTTTTTAATAGCAGATAGATTTCGAGATAATACTTAATAGTCATTTTCATTAAATTTAATACTATTTGTATTAAAATATTCCGTTTCTAATGTTAAACTGTCAGCAATAATTGTTTCATTGCGATATTAATCGTTCATCGAGTTGTTAACGATCAACGACTTTAATTGGGCGAATTTTTAGTTAGATATTGATAGCAATTGGTAAGTAGTTTCAAGTTAGATAAAGCAATCCCCATGGCTCAGACGGGAAAAAAATTACAATTACCTATTTATGAGATATGTACCGAAAATAAAAATCGCTCTATGTAAAATCGCATAAAATTTTATTTAGGTTTTAAATTGAATCAAATGAAAAATAAAATGGTTGTTATTTATTTAGTAGTGTAAAAAAATCGTGAGTTAAATCAAAATATATTAAAAAAAAAGACAATTTCCTATAGAAAAAGAGTATTCATTTTGTACTTAATTTTGATACCATAGCAACAAATCCAACGATATCTATGATATTATTTCTTGTAGACCGTTTATAATACAAGATTCAAAAAATAAAATGTATTTAATTTTCGATATTTTCTATTGAGATATTAAGTCAAAAAAGGATTTGACTTCGGTATGTAAGATATTTAGCTAAAATCTTGTTTTAGCATTTATATGTTATCTAAAAATCTCATTTAATCTCGTCTCATATTAAGTTATCAGAGGGAGTTAGAAGGGTCATAAAAATAGTTATATTAAGGCATTTAGACCTTATTTATTTCCATTACTTAAAACGGGATGCGATGTTATTACGAATATTGTTGAGCATAAAATTGTTGTTTGAATGTGCAAATTTGTGGTGTACAAATTTGGTTTCAAACAATATTTTATACCATTAACAATGTTTGAGATAGAGCGTGAAGAGTGAGAAGTGGTTAGCCATATAAATAGAGACGTAAAAAATAGTACATTTTTTTATCTGGTGTTTTCCTCTTTTTTACCTTATTTGACAAGGCCATCATTTTTTTTATTTTTGTGTTTGTTTAGAATATTTGTATATTATTTTACATTTATTTACTATAATAGATTAAAATATTTTTAGAATGAAATTATTTTTATTTCAAAAATGTTTTAATTTCTTAAATAATTTTTATGAGAATTTCCAACTCACTCTATGTCTATATTGTTTCAGATGCTTCGCAAAAGAGATTCGGACAGAACAAAACGCGACATATACGTTATAATTAGTTTCGCATATCTCTTTAAATGTACGTAGTGCAATATAATTTATAAATTAATTTAAAAATAGTTTTTTATTTAAAAATTGACTTTAAAAATAACATTTCTAACCACAAAAATGACATTATTATAAGCAAAACTTTTAAAAGTGTAAAGACAGTGACACTTCAAATGGAACAATGACTTGAATTGCACTTGCAATAAATAAAGTGACTAAAGTGTTATTAAAAGTGTTCAAAGTGTTTAAAAGTGTTGGTAAAATGAAGTATTTATGAGTGACTGCTGTGAACAGAGTTGCGGGATGTACACTACGTGGTACAGCCGCGGGGAAGGTGGCATGCATCACCATCAGATGGGGCAACTATACCATGGACCCCCTATGATAAAGACTGAAGCAGGTGTTAACAGTGATTGTATGATGGCAGTAGATTATGCACCCCCTATTAAGGTGAGTTTATGTTACTTTTATATTAAAGTGCTAAGCAATGTAAGTAAAAAGGGCTCTACATTCTAGATTCACATCTTCATGAACGAGTAGAGTATTTCATAAGACCTCTGTAGGAATTAGGTAAGACCTATATAGAATATGGAAATAAAACTATATTTTTTTTTCTGATACTTAAGAGGTGGTTACACTTTAGATGCAAAACAACGTATAGAAAAGTATGATTTTTTTAAATAAATTGTACTATGAAATTAAAAATAACTTATAATAATAAAATTACGAATAAAATTACGTAAGTACTTTCTAAGAAAGCATACCATAATACTCATACGAATATTATCGTATAACATAACATGAAATACAAACGCTTATAAAACTGTCAATTCCAACACTTAAAAATGACTCTACATTTGAAGATACAATTATTATGCTATCACCACAGATTTTTTGATTCGGTTTGGCTAAAAGAAATACAATAAATAGAGAAGAACTTGTACAAAATTCAATTCCCTTGTTGGCTTCAAAGCGTGCCAGTTGAGTTTACAATATAAAGACCTCTGTCTAGAGCGCAAGATTCAAAGTAGATATAGCTATACTTTATTTCTACAATAGCTTGTTCCTACGACTTTTTACGTCATATGAATTTCTATTTAAATTATTACTTAACGATTTCGATACTGAGGCCGAATCTATAGTTTTTAAAATTTTTGTCTGTCTATTTGTCTATCTGTCTGAGACCGCACCACAGAAAAACCACTGGAGAGATTTTGATGAAATTTGGTATGATGATAGCTGGTTATCCTGGTCAATATATATAATACTTTTTACTGCGAGAAAATATCTCATCTCTGAGAAATCTATACAAAATATTGAGTAAAAAGTAGTGACGAACCCGAGACTACTAATAACACTCAAATATGTTTTAAAACCACACTATCATATATCTGAAAGTTTGTATACCTATGTGTGTATGTTTGTGACTTTTTCATGCTGTAACGGCTGGATGGACTTTGATGAAACTTAGCATTCAAGGAGACTATGACATTTTTTTGTTGTTAACACTTAAGCTTATCAATAGCTATTAAACAATAAAGCGGTTCACAAACAAAGGAAAAAAAGTACTGAACTGTTATGTCTTTACCTATTTCATATATAGATAATAGCTGTGCCCCGCGGTTTCACCCGCGTTAAATTTGTTTGTTATAAAAATCAATTTTACAAAAATGTATGGAAGTCTGGCCGATTTGTTGACATTTATGATTATTGCTCCGCTTCCTTGGGTAGTAGCATGATAAGATATAGCCTATAGCCTTCCTCAATAAACGAGCGGTCTAATGCAAAAAGAACTTTTCAAAACGGATTTGTAGTTCCTGAGATTAGCGCTTTCAAATACACAAACAAACTCTGCCTCTTTATAATATTAGTATAGATTTTACTTATATAACTGACATATAAATTCCTTTAGTTCTATGGTAATAATATCATAAGAGGAACAATTAAGCTTCTAACATTTATTGCTACTGATAAAAGCTCATAAATCTCATTTTTTATTTTCAATCATTTAACGACACATTTTCTCTACAATGCCAATACAAATATCTAAAAACCAGTCCAGTATTTATAACAAGTATTACGTATTTAGTTTTTACAACCCTACTTTTTCTCACATAAAAGAATTCTTATTCCGGGAAAAACTTATAAAGCAGTGTAAGTAAAAACATGTTGTATGTTTTGAGTCATACTGCATCCCGCATCGATGCGAATCGCGTTATTTAGGTCTGTCGTCCACAAAGATTTCAAAGCGATTTTAATATATTTGAGTATTAGCAAGACTTTGATTGTCATTACTCGGTTTTAAATAATTTATTGCTATAGAATATTTTTGGAAAAAATCTTAGGAGCTAAAATACGTAAATTAGCTGTATTTTTAACCACTTTGTAGATCTAGTATAGCCGTAGATTTTGTGGCTGATTTCTCTTTAAATAGAGACTATATTTACGCATACACTTGATACGATACCTATTCTCACCTGGATTTTATCAATGACAGTGAAAAAAATAAAAAGGAAAATATTTTATTATTATTATTATTCTAAATCTGGATCTATTTATATTTACTATTATTATTCTAAAATGAATCTGTATTCAATAAATTTAATATATTTGATATTAACTGTCATAAAATATCGCAAAGTGATAAGTAGCTTTCTTTTAATACTTTCTTAGATTTACGCGAATATTTGACATTTTAAATAAAACTTTTTGGATTTTTTTGTGGATTTGTTATGATTTTTGGTTCCCCAAAAATCCAAAAATCATGATAAGTCTGCGAAAAATGGCTAAAAATAACTTTCTTTTGTAAGTTTCCGAGAAATTTCTCTACATATTTATAAAACAAAGACACAAAACAAACATTTTACCGTTTTATAAAAGCTCTTTTCTTATTCATCTTGAGAATATCTTGTGTAATTTATACTTTTCTATTTATAAGATTGATTTTCTCGTCACGTTTTTGCGATTTCATTATAAGATACTAGCGGCTCACCCTCGCTTCGCTCGGGTTCGTCGCTAGGTACGTTTTAAATAGATATAAAAAGAAAAAATCTTTCTTTCTCACATTTTAATTATATGTTTTAATACTTACCTATTCCGGACTAAGAGAAATCCAAAAATTAAAATATCATAAAAATTGGAACGCGGTCGAACGGGATAAAAAGTATCCTATGTCCTTCTCCTGGCTCTAAACTACCTCCCTGCCAATTTTCAGCTAAATCGGTTCAGCCGTTCTTGAGTTATAAGCGAAGTAACTAACACGACTTTCTTTTATATATATAGATGTATTTTTCTTAAATTATATATCTTTTAGCCATATCTTAGTTGAAAACATATAGGTATATACGTCATTTCTAATTCAAAAAGAAGTATGAAACAGTTATAAAATCAACACAAAGTCACATTAATACCAGTATGATGATAAATTGTCGTCGGAAATTTCTTCGAAAGTCTTCTATAGAAACAATTACATATTGCTATAATTTTTTATATACAAATATTAATACTATTAACAAAGTAAGTTTATAAAAATCAAAAGAAAGCCTAACTATGCCATTATAAAATACGCTGCAAAGTGGCTTCGCTATATTGAATCTTACCACCAAAAGGTTAGTTTTCGGGCGACAATGGCACACCTTTAGTTTTACAAGTCTACATAAAATCATAATATGAATACAATTTATTAATTATTATATATAATAAGGTAAGGTAGGGAAAAAAATTAAATCTTATATATAAATATCTCGTGTCACGGTGTTTGTGGTCGTACTCCTGCGAAACGGCTCGACCGATTTTAACGACATTTTTTTTGTATGTTTAGTAGGTATGAAAATAGGTCGTAAAGTACTGTTCACCCTCTTACTCCCCATTTTTTAATCGCGATTGTCGTATTTTTGTGTGAACGATATTATATAAATACATAGCGTATAACATTAAGCCAAAGAGTTTTTTTTGTAGACTGAACGCGGGCGTAGCCGCGGGTTCTGCTAGTAATTTATAATATAACTAGCGACTCACCCTCGCTTCGCTCGGGTTCGTCAGTTGATGCCCCTTATAAACTTTAATCCTCATTTTCACTCTCTTAAGGGATGATTTCCGGGATAAAAAGTATCCTATGTCCTTCCCAGGGTCTCATATTATCTTCTTACCAAATTTCATCTAAATCGGTTTCGTAGGTTCACAAATTACCCCCTACAACGCCACAAACTCACAATCTTACAAACTCACAAACTTTACCTCTCAATAATATTAGTATAGATAACGCTATATCGCGCTAGTTAAAGCTATAAAGCAAGCGTTGCAATCTAATATAGATTATCACGTGAGGTATTTAACAAGCCTTAATAGCCTTTAATGAGATGGCACATCCCTTCTAGGGAGGGTAACATGGAATACCTGTAACTATTCCTACCATTTGTAAAAAATAGACAAGGAAAGATGGCCTCTGATATATTTTAAATAAGATTTAAATAAATACGGTAGTTTAAAATAATGTGAAAATGAAACTTTATTCAAATAGAATTATTACTAGCACTCTCGAATCGTCAATTTAGAACGTCAGTGTAGTCAGTCCATGAGGAAGCTACCACCGGAAAGCTATTCTGCTGAGAAGAGCCGGCGTGAAACTTAACTATTTATTTAAATAATATTTTTATATTTATATACAAATAAGAAATTATTTCTTCACGCTATACAAAATTATAATAGTATATAGCTTTATTTAAATCTTAAGACGAGCTCTTTTTAGAGAGAAAGCTCTTTAAAGTTGGTAATTTTTACATTTTTAACATATAAAAATATAGGGTTTCCAATAATAGACTTAACTGTTCAATGGATTTGAACAAAAGTAATAGAAATTATATCTTAGAAGAACACAGCTGCTTTTTATTATTATCTGCAACTCGAACGGAGAAGCGGCTAAAAACTCGTCGTGTATAGGTAATGGGTAGAAGTAATAAATTAATTACTCTGTAACTGTTAGTAATATTTAAGATTATGTTTATCAAAAATACTAAATAATTTTCCACTTTAAAGGGGTGGATTTATCTTATCGTTTAAATCAAAATTTTAAAGTGTAACCAAATCACCTCTAAGATAAATGTATTTTTTTAAAATAAAAAACAAAATAAGTAAATAAAATAAGATCATCCAAACATTGTTACATAGTTTATTGGTTATAAAGTAATAATAAAGTATTGTATTCAAATTTTTTTAACGTCACACTGCTGGACACAGACCTCCTTCCATTACGAGAGGGATCAGGCCACAGTCCGCCACGTTGGCATAGTGCGGGCTAGTAGATTTCAATGTAAATTCAAACTTGCTAGATTCTTACAGAAATGCAGGTTTCCTCACGATGTTTTCCTTCACCGTAAGACAATAACACCTCTAGGTAAATTTCTAAGAAATTAATTAAAATTATCTATTGTTAACTGACACGCCGGCGTGTCCGCGGTCGTGGAGGGATTAATAATCATGTTGAAAATGATTAGCACATAAAAATATAATAGTTGCGAGACCGAATTTGAACCCGCTTCACTCGGTTTCCTAAGCGAGCGCGTTACCACTAGGCTACCAATGGCAAAGTAATAATAATAGATAAAATTTATTAAAATGAGGGAAAATAATGTCTAAAAATGTACAATTTCTATGTACATAAAAACAACATCTAATAGCATTCCAATCAATAATAATAGCTATAAGAATTTTGCACATCTATATCTTTTTTATAGTAGACTATCAGTATACTCTGCTGTAAAAACATAATAAAATAATGGTTCTGACATATACAGTATATGCCTCTCCCATTATTTTATTAACTTTTTATAAGTTAAAAGTATATACCAGAAGTTACGAAATAGTATAAATTCTTTCTTTTATCGTGTACATCAATTGTTTTTGTCAGATTCAACTGTTTTCCTTTTTAGTCGATGAGTAGTTTTTATTTCAAACTAGCGACTCACCCTGGCGTTACGTTTTAACTGTTAATATAGATTTCTCAAAGTATCTTTAATTTGACTCGGATAACCAGTCATCAGCATACCAAATTTTATCAAAATCTGTTCAGTGGTTTTCTCGTGATGCATTCAAAGACAGACAAAAATTCTAAAAACTATAGATTCGGCCTCTGTTTCGATAATAATGACGATTTCAATAAGTTTTTCCAAAAAAAATTATTTAATGTACAGATTATGCAGATGAGTTTTTTGTTTAACATCTCTCTCTAAACTTAAAGGGTAGATACGTATCTGTTAATTTTAAAATTATAAGATGGTCACATTTATTATTAAATACAATTAAATACTTTTAAATAAATAAAAGTAAATACTTTTGAAAATAAAAAACTGTTTTATGACGTTTCAAGTTGAAGAAACTTATTCAATAGTCTTTAGTAACTTATTTTTAACAGTGAGTTCGTTCAACTCCTTTTATAACTTAAAAATTGGTATGTTGACTTGCTAGGTCCTTAGTGCAGGTCATACAAAAATAAATCCAAATTAACTTTATATTGATATACAAATTATTATGAATAATAATAATCTACACTTATAAGTAGAATAAATAAGAAATTCGAATTTCAACAGATCTCTTATGAGAATAAGGTCTTATCTGATTTTAACGAAACCTTTTTTATCCAATAGATTCGGTTGAGAATGAGATCTCGAAGAATCTTAGAGAAAAGTAATTCTCATCGAACTAATATTATAAATGCGACAGTTTGTACGTATGTGTGTTTATTTGTTTGTTTTTTTATATTGAAACGTTGAATATGACTTGGGAGTACACATCAAGAGTACTGCCTACTGCTATGCAAAAGGACGTGCCCAAGCGATGCGAGGCGAAGTCGGTAGTATAAAATAAAAATAACAATAAAAACAGCATAAACATTTCTCAAAGTACATAAATCGCTATTAATTAACGTCTTACATATCAACATGTTTGCACGATCAGAGCCCCGTTATCTCGCGGTAATTTAATTAT